CAATATAGTGATTGAATATTCATACGTACCCGGTAGATGATTTAAAACTCAGATGGGGTTTTGATAAAGTTTTAAAACTCAAACTGGAAGTGAGTTATTCAATAAAAGAAATCACATAAAATTGATTTACAATGTACTACTTACATAATATGGTACGTTCTATATATCCACATAAACTAAAATTATTTTTTCTTCTAGACAATTATTTCAGGCAATGTAACTAAAACAAGCCTTTCTATTAACATCTTGCACCATGCTGAGATTTATTAGTGAAGTTGATTTTTGCATCTAAGTATCAATTAGTAACAGACTTGAATGCATATGCATTCAAGGACGGTCTTTTTTAATGTCTATACTTGTGTTGTATATAATTCGAAAGGAAGGGCAATTTGTGGCTGTACAGACATGTAGAGCATGTGGTGGATGTGTTTTCAACGAATCCACTCAAATAGTAAAACTTATTTCTCGGAATACATGTATTGTGCTCTAAAATTGTGCGTGTAGTGTGCAGGATATGGCGAAACATGCTAAAACTTTAATTAACGTTCTTAGCAATGGACAGAAATAGGGCTGATGAAATGTTAAGCAAACGGTGTAATACTTGAAGTAGGGAACTAGGATTAAATAGTTTATGTAAAGATGTGTCTCAGCTGTGTTGCCCATTCTTAATGAAGACTAAATTTAAAAAACGGAATAAAATAATAATGTATACCTTAATGAAGATTTATCAATACTTGATATTAATACTGTATTTTCTTTCTTGGACTCTTGAATTATTAATCATTGAAATAGCAGAAATATTATGGGCAATTATTTTCAGTATTCCTTTTTAACTAGCACAACAATGTCGTAGATATGTTTTCCTCTCAACATGTTTTGCATGGTAGTGAAGATCATACATACACAAGTAAAGAATGGTGAAATGCACCAGGCGTCCGCAAAAAATACTGAAGCATTTTAAATTATTTCAACAATAGTCGAAAATACTTTTGGGGGTTTAACGTATGACGGGTTTGACGTATTTTTAATCCAAAGAAGAAAAGTGTAAAAATTTTATTGCAAAAACGTATCATTTACTAATGAGAGACACATATTGTATATCAACACAAAATTGTTACTGCAAATACATGTACAGTCAAAACTGCCATAGCGACCCACTGTATTAAGCGACTCACTGTCACATGTGACCGTAAAAGTTCCCCCAATGCTTTTTCCTATATATTCTACCTGTATTAAACGACCACCTGTCTAACGCAACCAACGACCGTGATTTTCCTGACCATTTTTAGTAATATCAAGCAATTTTACCTGAATTTAACGACTACATAATTTCCGATTGCTACTTTCGAATTCGGTCGAAGTTATTTATAGGCTATCATGTAAAAAAAAAAACTATTATTAGGGGAAAAAACTTTGCAGCCTTTTTATACTGTATGAAAAAATATTAATGATTTCAGATGTTCACAATATTTCCAAATATTCAAAAGAATCACATGTGGATCAAGAAATTTTTATTTCTTAACAGGACAATTGTAAAAGCATTTTAGAGTTGAGCAGTACAGCTGTACCTATTAAAAAGTGGAAATAAACATAAGGAGCTATAAAATACATTCAACATACACGTGTGATATTTTCAGCATTGTATATTTTGAACACTGCGAAAAATAAGCAACCTATGTTAAGAGACCACCTGTCATATGTGACCTTTTTTCCTTTCTCCGTTGGAAGGTCTCTTAATACAGGTTTGACTGTACACTGTAAATCAAATATTTGAATATCAGAGATTACAGGATAAGATCAAAAGATAAATATAATATCTTTATACTAAAATGTATATTTACATATTATCTCTGACATAAAGGGCATTAATTCTACGGATGTTAATTTCATTTACATATGACGTTGTTACAAACATGATGCCAATCTTCAATTTGAAAAACTTGTAAACGCAGAATGAATTTGTTATTAAATATGATCATCAGAAGATTTTATCTTGCAGTGTTGCACGTAAATGAGAGGAATTTTAGCGACATTTTCAAGTGTTAACATTTTTTTTCAAATACATTGTATACATTTTCCAGCAAAAGTATTGTCTTCAGACAGTATAGCTACATGTATGTCTAGAGTTTAAATTTGATCGGAAAACTCGATTATCATCTCGAAAGAAAATAATTTTACACGCAAAAATATTTTCTTGCAATTTCTTGTACAGTACTGTAAGTAAAATAGATTGATCTTTTGACATACGAAGATAATGTATGATGTTTGAAAAAAGGGCACGAGGCAATGCTGAATTTCATATCCCAACGGGGTTTACATATTCAGGACTCACATACTTTTTGACAACTGTGCTCGACCTAGCGCTATCGCACTGTCAAAATATCGCTTAGAATTCAATACAACAGGACATTTTAAAATATAATTCTGACGAATTCCAAATCAAAATGCTTAGCGCTTCCCAGTACTTTCAGTACTTTGATTAGCTCTACTGGTCAGAGACTCTTATAATATTCAGAGAACTTATGCGATGGTTATGTGTCCGTCCAATTTTTCAAAATGCTACTCTTCTTCTTCTTCTGCTCTAAGTGCATCCCTCGATATTCGAGTATACTCGCACTATGGTTTAAAAGGCGCAATCGTGAAACACAGGGCGCTGTATTTACAATTAAAAACCAGAAGTCTCTGTCGAGACTGAAGCTCTACTGGTTTGTACTTATAATAAAGAAAGAGAAAAGTAGCAGTTGGGATATAAAACTTTACAAAAGCAATAAACAGAATAATGAGAAAAACCGATACACAGAATTATGTATCTTAGTGTAGTGTACTTGTGTGCCAAGTTATATTGAAATCAGACCAAAACTGTAGGAGTAGCATTTTAAATGTATTTCAAAGAAATTTCTTTTTTAAGTAACAACGACAACATCGTTCATCGAAATCAAAAAGCGATACACAGAATTATGTACCTTAGTGTAGTCTACTTGTGTGCCAAGTTATAATAAAATCAGACCAAAACTGTAGGAGGAGTAGCATTTTGAAAATATTTTTTAAAATTCTATTTTTAGTAACAATGGCAATACCGTTCATCGAAATCCAAAACCGCTACATAGAATTATGTATCTTTGTGTTGTCTACTTGTGTGCCAAGTTATATTGAAATCAGATTAAAACTGTAGGAGGAGTAGCATTTTGAATGATTTTCACAATTTTTTCTATTTTTAGTAACAACGACAACACCGTTCATCGAAATCAAAAACCGATATAAAGAATTATATATCTTTGTGTAGTCTACTTGTGTGCCAAGTTATATTGAAATCAGATTAAAACTGTAGGAGGAGTAGCATTTTGAATGATTTTCACAAAAAATTCTATTTTTAGTAACAACGGCAACACTGTTCATCAAAACCTAAAACCGATATAAAGAATTATGTATCTTTGTGTAGTCTACTTGTGTGCCAAGTTATATTGAAATCAGATTAAAACTGTAGGAGGAGTAGCATTTTAAATGATTTTCACAAAAATTCTATTTTTAGTAACAACGGCCACACCGTTCATTGAAATCAAAAACCGATACACAGAATTATGTATCTTAGTGTAGTCTACTTGTGTGCCAATTTATATTAAAATCAGACCAAAACTGTAGGAGGAGTAGCATTTTGAATGACTTTCACAAAAATTTCTATTTTTAGTAACAACGGCAACAACGTTCATTGAAATCAAAAACCGATACACAGAATTATGTATCTTAGTCTACTTGTGTGCCAAGTTATATTGAAATCAGACCAAAACTGTAGGAGGAGTAGCATTTTGAATTTTTTACAGACGGACAGACAGACAGACGGACGGACGACGGACGCATTACTATTGCATGAGCTCTTCTGATCTCTGACCAGTAGAGCTAACAAGGTATTTACAGGAACTGTACTGTTGCCAGGCTCTGCTTGAAGGCTTCAAGCGAGTTTACCTGGGACACTGCAACTAGAAGCGTGTTTCAAAGTCTGATACTGCTTGGGAAGAAGGAGTACTGATAGGCTTGTAATCTGGCATGTGGGATGAGGAACTTTGTTGTATGGCCTCGGGTGCAACTGCCAGTGGGTATCAGGTACTCTGATGGTGGGATGTCAACAAGACAGTGATGAATCCTGTAGAGCATGATAACCTTTGCTCTTGTTCTGCGGAGTTTCAGAGTGTCCCATGAAAGTGCGTTCAGCATAGTTGATACGCTACTTGTGCGATGGTATATTCCAGTCACAAATCTAGCAGCACGTCGTTGTACCATCTCAACCGCATTGATGTTACGAGCAGTGTGGGGGTCCCAGACTGTAGATGCGTACTCTAGGGTAGGGCGGACATCGGTCTTGTAAGCCTGCTCCTTGTTACACATATTGATGTTTCGTCTGAGAAAGGCTAAGGTCTGATTCGCCTTTTTGATGACACTGTCAATGTGGGTGTTCCAAGACAGTTTCCTATTGATGGTCACTCCTAGGTACTTAGCGTTGTTAACATGCTGCAGGGTGTGGCCTTGGATGGTGTAGCCATATTGGACTATTGGAGATGGTAATGACCTCACACTTCTCCGGATGGAATTGCATGAGCCATCTCCTCTCCCACTCTTGGAGTTTCTGTAAGTCCTCCTGTAGGGCTTTACAGTCGTCGATGGACTTAATCCTCCGGTAGACAAGACAGTCGTCTGCGAACAAGCGGGATTGGGACTGGATACAGGCTTGCATGTCGTTGATGTACACCAGGAAGATTAAGGGGCCAAGGACTGTTCCCTGGGGCACTCCTGATGTGACGGGACACTTACTGGAGGAGGAGCCGTCTAGTACCACTTCCTGTGTGCGATCAGACAGGAAGTCCTGAATCCAGTTCAACAATTTACCTCGTACTCCAGCGTGGTGTAGTTTATGGAGGAGGCGCCTGTGTGGGACTTTATCGAACGCCTTGGAAAAGTCCAGAAGGATGGCATCGGTTTGCTCTCCCATGTTGAGGTCAGAAGCAAGGTCATTTATGGTCAGGATGAGTTGTGTTTCGGTGGAACGTCGTTTTCGAAAAACCATGCTGTGAATCTGATAATACCTTATGGTCATCCAGGTGTGTAATGATAGAGCTATGTATAATATGTTCGGCAATCTTGCAGCAAATTGAAGTGAGGGAGATTGGACGGTAGTTTGAAGGCTGGCTGCGGTCTCCTTTCTTGAAGACTGGAGCTATCTTGGCGCTTTTCCAGTCATCTGGGATTCGTCCCTGATCGACTGATGCCTGGAAGAGTAGAGTCATGGCTGGTGCAAGTTCAGTGGAAGCCTCGCGGAGGAGTTTCCCTGGAATGTTGTCAGGGCCAGTAGCCTTACTAGGATTGACATACTTCAACAGCTTCTCAACACCATTGACTGATACGGTGATCTTTGGCACATCAGGGATGGTGCTTGGCCCAAGTGGGGGCAGGTCTCCTGGAGCTTCCTGAAAGAAGACGGATGCAAACTGTCTGTTTAGAACATCAGCCTTTGTGGCACTGTCATTGTGAGTGAGTCCGTCCTTCTTAAGGGGGGAGACTCCACACATGTCTGTACGGCGACTTTTAATGAACGACCAGAATTTTTTCTTTCCACCAGTATCGTCAGAGAGCATATCACTTATATGCTTATTATAAGCTTGTCTGCATAAACGGTGTTGGTCATGTTTTAGACTTGTGTAGTTGTCCCGATCAAATTGGCAACCGGATATGCGTGCCTTCTTAAACCATTTTCGCTTAGCACGAGACAACCTGCGTACATCCCTGTTTGCCCACGGCTGTGTTACCCGCTGGGAGGACATGCGAGATGGTACAAGCTTAGTCATGGTATCCGAGCACCATGTGCTGAAACTGGACCACATTTGGTTAATGTCAGATGAGGTTGAAAAGTCATGACAAAATTCCCCTGAATAGGTGGTAGCACTGTTTTTAATACCTTCTATGTCTGCTTTTTTCCATAAGAGTATACGCCGTCTGGGGGGTTTAATGCGGCTTATAGAGATGTTCAAAGACACAAAAATAGCTTCATGATCACTGATTCCTGGAAGGGGTTCACATCTATCGATGAAGGACGGTCTATTTGAGAAGAAAAGATCGAGTGTGTTCTCTTTCCGTGTTGGGAAGTCTACGATCTGGTTAAGACCAAGTTCGTTTTCTAGGTTGAGTATGTGTTCATTTATAGACTTACATGTAATACACTGATGACCAGTAATAGAGTTTGTAGACCAAGAAATGTCTGGAGTGTTTAAATCCCCACCTAAGATGATGATACTCTTTGGGTAGTGAAGACAAATCTCCTTCACAGCATTAAATAGGTCTAAGGCATATTCCATGGTGCTGCCTGGGGGTCTGTAGGCTGACATGACTATAACTGGGTCTCCAGAAGGGTTATGTATACGTCGACACAATACCTCACACTCAGATTTAATCTCAACTGGATCACTAGTGAGATTATCTTTATGCGCAATAAGGACTCCACCATACCCATCACTACGGTCTCTGCGGTAAATTGAATATTATGAATCTGGAGGCAGCAGCTCACTGTTATGGATTGTTGACCTTAACCAGGTCTCATTTGCAAGAACCACATCAGGGTTGCTGCTTTCTAAGAGATTCCAAAAGCTTTCCTTCTTGGGCATATAGCTTTGCATATTAAGGCACACAAACCGAAGCTGGGAGGGTGTTCCTTTATTGTTCCTAGGTTTCCCTGCTGGGCTAGAGGTATGCAGAGGTGATCCTATTTCTGAATGAGTGAAGGATGTTGGGGAGGCTAAGTCACTATGGGAAGTGTCTTGTAAACTAGAAAACCGATTTACAGAGTCTATAATAACGCTATCAAAAAGACTGCTGGAAAAGTTAGGAATTCCGCAGGAACAGCACACCCATGAGGTATTCGAATTTTCTAGGGCAAGATAAACTAATGTAGGCATGTGCATACAATCCTTGTGCTACCATAAAGAACAATTGTCACAAGCTACAGCCTTGTGTTTCCATGTTACTGCCTTTCCACAGATTTGGCAAGGGTACTTTGGCCATGGGCCTGGATTTAACTCGGTGTCAGATGCATGAATAATGAGTAGAGCAGCAATATACAGCAAATGTCTGTTTGTAGAGCTGTTAAACATTAGGTTTTTAACATTCCTTACAGAGCTGTGCAATAACTCACTAGCAACGGGCTTTGAACTGTAATTACTCACATTGTCCGTACCATAGTATGATCTTACACACAGAGTTGTAAATGTACCAAGAATACTTGTCTTGTGGCATAGGCTATCACTGGACTGGCAGGCAGAATAGCATAAGACAATCTTACTTGGAATTGTTCGTGACAAGAGCATGGAGAAAGCAAAAAGTCCGAAGACCAGGTCCAAATTCCGTATTCTCTTCATGTTGTTTACATTGGAAGGTAAAAATGAAAGCGGAAGTTGCGCAATATTTAGGAGCTCGACATCTGGAACAATGGATTTACTGTGTTATATTAAAACTACTCCAATTGTCAGAATTTACACATAAATGGGATCAACACATCTCCTGTAGACAAAGCAGTCCGTTTAAGTAACAAGAGAACTTCAAAAATTCACAATATTTAGTCAAACTTGAGAGATGAAAAACGGAAGACGTCCTGTGTGTCATGCATGCGTCCTAAAACTCCTCCTACAGTTTTGGATTGATCTCAATATGACTTGGCACATAAGTAGACTACACTGAGATACATAAAGTAGTGCATCAGCTTTTGAACGCCGTTTCCCTGGTTACTAAAAATAGAAATTTCTGTGAAATTCCTTTGAAACGCTATTCCTCCTACAGTTTTGGTCTGATTTCAATTTAATTTGGCACACAAGTAGACAATAGTAAGGTACATAATCTAATTTATCGGTTTTTGATTTCAAAGAAAGGTGTTGCCATGGATACTAAAAATATTTTTTTTTTTGAAATTCCTTTAAAATGCTACTTCTCCCAGTTTTGGTCTGATTTCAATATAACTTGGCACACAAGTAAGTTACATAATTTAGTGCATCGGTTTTTGATTTTGATAAAAGGTGTTCCATGGTTACTTAAAATATAAATTTCTGTGAAATTCCTCAAGAACTCTACCCCAACTACAGTTTGGTTTGATTTCAATATAATTTGGCACACAAATATACATAACTTAGTGCATCGGATTTTGATTTCGATAAACGGTATTGCCATGGTTATTTAAAAAAAAATTCTGTGAAATTCCTTTAAAATTTTACCCCGCCTACAATTTTGGTCTGATTTCAATATAATTTGACACAAAAATTGACTACACTAGATGCTTAATTTTATCGGTTTTTGATTTCGATGAACGGTATTGCCGTGGTTACTTAAGATAGAAATTTCTGTGAAATTGTTTCAAAATGCTGCTCCTCCTACAATTTTGGTCTGATTTCAATATAACTTGGCATACAAGTAGACTTCACTGAGATACACAATTCTGTGTATCGGTTTTTGATTTCGATGAACGGTGTTGCCGTGGTTACTAAAAAAAGAAATTTCTGTGAAATTTTTTCAGTATGCTACTCCTCCTGCAGTTTTGGTCTGATTTCAATATAACTTTGCACACAAGTAGACTACACTCAGTTACACAATTCTGTGTGTTGGTTTATGATTTCGATGAACGGTGCTGCCGTGGTTACTAAAGAGAGACATTTCTGTGAAATTGTTTCAAAAAGCTACTCCTCCTACAGTTTTGGTCGGATTTCAATATAACTTGGCATACAAGTACACTACACTTAGATACATAATTCTGTGTATTGGATTTTGATTTCGATATTGCAGGTTCCAGTAAATGTTCAACTAACCCTCGTTACTCCTCACTAAGATATTGACAGTAGTGAAGGAAAAACTTCAAGAGTACTTTGCAACTATATATTCAAGAAGTGGTGTGAATCAGATGTGGATACTAAAAAATTCTAAAGAACTTTTGGACAATTTGAAATCAAAGGACTTTACAAAAATCAACAGCTTAAAAACTTACGACTTTTTCAACTTTATACACAACAATTCCCCAAGACAAATTAAAATCCAGGCTTTTTGATATCATTGACAACTGCTTCTTCAATAAAAATGGAACTCGTAAATTTACTTACCTCGTCATTAAAACAGATTCTGATTGCACACATAAGTACTCTGAAGTTGACATTAAGATGATGCTTGAGTTTCTGATTGACAATATCTGTATGGTTTTTGGAGACCAGGTATTCCAACAATCTATTGGAATTCCAGTGGGTACAAATTGCGCACAGTTATTAGCAGACTTATTTTTATATTCATATGAAGCAGAATTTATGCAAAATCTAATGCGTGAAAAGATGAAAACACTTGCTGTGGCCTTCAACTCGACATTTAGATATATCGACGACGTATTGTCAATTAATAATGGTAATTTCCATTCCTACGTCGATACGATATATCCTGGTGAGCTTGAGATAAAAGATACCACAGAGTCCGACGCTTCTAGTGATGGGGAATCGGAAAAAAATCATAATCGATTATCGGTAATAATCGGCTGGGCATAATCGATTAATAATCGATTATAATCGAAATTTTGAAGTTTAATAAAATTGATATAGAAAAGTTGAAACTTATTCAGATTTCTGTCAGACTTTTACAAAAAAATCATTTACTTACATAAAATATTCAAAAATGTTAATTGAAATTTCTTTTTTAAAAAGTGGAAAATAGTATTTTGTTTACTTTAAACAATATAGGACTATTGAAACAGAATGGGAATTCATTTTTTTATAAAGTCCATGCAAGGGGTATTTTACTGATATTAGTCCCACCTTTCATTTAATACATGTCCATATTTATTTCTTAAAATTTGTTTTAATTAGTTAAAATTGCAAGTTGTAAAAGTAATTATCCAGAAGTTAGACTTGTATTTATGATTATAATTACGTTTAAAGATTGACTAGACTAATTATGTTTTCCTTTACTTGCAATATTACGTTTCCTGGTATTAGTCTAACCCCATATTTAATCATGGCGGTAAAAGTATCAACAAGGCACGGGATCCTTCCATGTTTTCAACATTCATCACTACTTTTATGCTCTTTGCACTTGGATTTGGTAATAAAATTAAAGTATGACAATTTTATTTTTTGTTAGCGATGTCGGCGACATTTATTTTATAATCGATTAGTAGCATCGAAGAGCTTCTAACGACCGACAATCGATTGTCGCCGACAATCGTTCCATCACTAGACGCTTCTGTTTCATACTTGGATATTTTACTTGAAAAGACACTAATTGTAATCTGACAACCAAGCTATATGATAAACGTGATGACTTTAACTTTTCTATCGTCAACTTCCCTTACTTATGCAGCAATATACCTTCATCACCTGCATACGGAATATATATATCTCAGTTGATTCGATACGCAAGAGCAGCATGCTCTACGTATGAACAATTTCTAAAACGAGGTAAATTATTGACAAGCAAGTTAACGAAACAGGAATATCAGCAGTCTCGTTTAAAGTCATCATTTTGTAAGTTCTATGGTCGTTACAATGTCAGCAAATACAAGTTATCATTCAGTCAAATGCTGACTGACGTTTTTCATACTAAATGTTAGTCCATTATTTATACACTGAACTGACGACGGATTTTTTCCGTTATTTCCTGATCCTGACAAGGAGCACACGGCGGGTGTGACCGGCCGGCAGGGGATGCTCACTCCTCCATGGCACCTGATCCCACCTCTGATGTTTCGGAGGTCCGTGTTTGCTCTGCTCCCATTTTGTATTGTTTAATGGACTTTGAGATTGAATACTGTTCGTTATCTCCATATCCTTAATCGATGAACGGTGTTGCCGTGGTTACTGAAAATAGAAATTTCTGTGAAATTGTTTCAAAATGCTACTCCTACAGTTTTGGTCCGATTTCAATGTAACCTGGCACACATATATATACATATATATAACAAGAAAAATATTTAATATAGCCATAAAATTACAAACGTAAGTCGACATATTCCATGGCCCAAAGATGCATCAACTGACAAAGTTTGATGATTCTAAGCCGATTTAGTATCTCAAAATACCTAAATAAAGAATTACACTTTCAAAGTAGGTCACGTTGACTCACTTTTCAGTAGACATACTCCGAGGACTCAAGATCCATCAACTGACAAATTTTGATGAATTTAGGCTAAAAAGTACACGAAAATATTTCGATACGGCCATAACAATTCAGAAGTAGGCCATGGTGACCTACTTTGCAGCTGAGGTATTCCAAGGACCCAAGACACATCAACAAAAAAGTCTGATGATTCTAGGCCAATAAGTAAGACTATTTCAATATATACCGGTAGTCCTTTAAATTAAAAAGGTCACAG